ATTGCTTACAATATAACTAATCCAAAGAACAAACATATAATATATTGCAGCTTACCAGTCCTTAGATGTGATGACTACATTTATTTTTTAAATTTTTCAGGCTAGGAACATTATTAGCAATTGCAGAAAATATTATGTAGATATTAAGATTAAATAATTAAATACATGTTGATGTTGCCTGGATTGCAGTGTCCGTGTTACTTCCTGTGAGATAAACCAGAAGCAAAAACATTGTAATACAAACCACTAATTCCATCAATCCCTTGCAACTAAAGTTAACAAAGGCAGCCAAGTTTTAAGTGCAGCCTGGAGGGTAACCATGCCTCACTCCATAGATACAGTGGAGGTGTAAATGTAGCCACCCAGTACCAGGAAGTGTGGTCTTTGCAGTATTACCAGGTAAAAATAAAGGGGAAAAAGGCCCGAACACAAGAAAATGAATGCAGGCTTCATATTTAGGGATTTATATGCTGAAATATACAATAAATGTGTTTTGGGGTTTAAATACACTATAAATGTTTAATGTGTTATCTTTTAAAAGTCAACAGGAAGACATACCATTAATTAGTGCAACCAATGCTGTTAAATCTTGCAGCTTGTTCTGTCATGTATGTGTTTTCATCACCTATTTTGCACAGACACTACTCACCTTTAGTGTGCTATCCAGAGAGGGGCTGTGTGTTTTGTTGGCTTTTAGTTAATAATGAGCAAACTAATACAGAATCCACCTACCTGTCTCTGAATAGCACACTAGTGCTGCTGCAGAAGAAGTAAATTGGGATAGACCCAACTCCAGGCTCCACCATCCAGTCCCCCAGTACTTCCCTCTCCCCCAGAGGCTCCCCAAGCTGTATTTTATGCTATTTTTAATATACTGACCATTATCAGATGTCTTCAGGCCAGTAACGTGATATACTGGGGTTGATTTACTGTAGGCAAATAGGCTGTTCATTTTGCAAGGGAATTTTCCCTTAGCTTAGTGAATGATGTGAAGCCACATTCGCTAAGCTAGGGGAACATCTTATTTGCCTTCAGTAAATCATACCCACAGGGTCCCTTTTCCTTTTGGACTCTGCCCAAGGTGGGTGTCAGTTGAGTCAACCCCACACTCTACATTATTGTGCTGTATGTAAGAAAAGAGCACTCTGGGAATGTCCCCTCAGGAGTAAAATCCATTACACCTTGCAATTACAGGATCTCCTCAGTCTTTCCGGTTAAATGGCCCTGAATACAGCACCAGAAAAGAGGCGAGCTTTGCAGCCAGAGCTGCTATCTGTTTTTTTTTAACTGCTGGGGCACAGTTTGAAAAATTTTGCCCTGGGTTGGACTTTAGATTTTTTATTACATAACTATGTAAGCTCTGTTAACTTTTGTAATGGTGCAGTTACATTTTAATCTGTCAGACCAGAAACTTAAGAACTGCTGTTGCTAAGGCATTCAGAGGGTCAAAGGTACCTAAATCTTACAGTTGCTGGTTTGCCAACTGCTTGGCTTTAAAAACTGTCTCTAGTCTTCTGAGCATGCAGAGTCTGAGGGCAGGCACTTGATGAGCAGCAGCCTTCCCTGACACTCTATCAAAATAGAGCTCACCTTTTATTAGATCAACTCTAGAGCTAAATTTGAGCTGCTGGAGCTCAGGGGTTGATTTTTGGATATTAGATCTTGAGCTGGCTAGCTGCTGCTGCTCTTCTCACCTGTCATATATTCAAAATGACATAGTTCGCTACGCAATTTATTTTGTGTCCATGAAATTGTCTAAATTGCTTTAACACTTCAATGCATTCACTTTTTATTCTGATAATCGATTTTTATAAATCCTAGTGCATTTCTTCGAAAACACCTCCATGTGAAGACATCTGCAATTTTATTAGGCCACCTATCCCTATATTTTGTGCACAATACCTGAAAATTTTAAGATGGCACATTTTTGTTAAGCAGATTTATTATCTTAGATGAAATGCAGCCATTTCAGATGGCTGGAGATGAAAACAAATGCTTCATGAGTTTAGAAATAAATGAATGAGAAATACAGACTTACAGAGACTAAATAACCATTTTGTTTAAAAAAAAAAAAAATGATTCCACAATAAAGTGTTATATATATATGTGTGTCAACTGAATATTTTCATGAAAACATTTTCATGAGATAAAATAAGGAACACAGTTAAAATAAACCATACAACTTTGCAACTTGACCCTTCTGTCTTAATTCGTTGAGATGGGTGATTTTGTTTTTGGTATTTTCTTTGTTCAATCAATGTACTTTTAACATTGTATCCAACCAGGGTACATGTCTTTCATAAAGAAAACAATTAACATTTATTTAATGGCTTTAAGTGCCAATCATTTTCACCAAAAGATATGCCTGGACTGTTATTTTTTTTATATAAAGTGGAAGTAATTTACATATTTTCTTTTGCATGTTTCTACTTGCTTCAGAGCTAAAACTCATTGTGGCAGAGCAGAGCCCCCTAGAGCTGACTCTTTGTTTAGGCTCTGGAGCCATCTTGGATCTAGAGATCAACTGTTGGAGCCACTCTAGAGCTTCAGCTGGCAAATGGAGGACTGCCAACCCTAGAGTGTAGTGCTTGAGCCTGTATCAACCAATCAGAATTTATCTTTCAAAATCTGTGAAAACTGAATCCCAATGGGCAATGGGCATAGTTATTGCTCTTTGCGCTGATTTGTTATAGTGTATCTAAGTCCAAAACTTTTATTTTAGTTTTGTATAAAGTGTGGAAAGGACAGAACCTCTATATGGTTTTTATTGATATCTGTGTCCACATTAGTGAGATTTACTCTCTTTTACTCTCTTTTTGTCCTGGTGACCACAATTGCTGGGACTGAAAGTTAGTGAAAAACCAGAGCTGTGCAAGGATTTTTGCCGACACAGGTAAAGGTAAATTTTTCCATCCCCGCACCTCAGGCAGCTGCCTATAATCGTTGTATATTGTATAATGGGGGTACAGTAATACCTTGGTTTAAGAGCATAATTCGTTCCGGAAGCATGCTTGTAATCCAAAGCGCTTGCATATCAAAGCGAATTTCCCCATAGTAAATAATGGAAATTCAGATGATTCTTCCACAACCCAAAAATATTCATATAAAAATGATTACAATACAGTACTGTAATATAATACTGTATAAAATATAAAGAAAAATAAAACAATTACCGGTACCTTCGTGGCTGGTGTGAGGGGGACAAGAGAGAGGAGGATTATTGTGTAGGACGACTTTCACTCTCACTAACGGAATCACTGCCATCTCTTGACTCAATGGAATCTTTTTAATTTTGTGAAACCTTAAACAAGGAATCTATCCAATGTGACATTGCATTGTCGTTAAACAGTCTCATCGCTCGCACTGCTACAGCCTTATTCGGTGGTGCTTTTCTACAAAATTTTGCTCTTATTGCAAGACATTTGCTTGTATATCAAGGCAACATTTTTCAGAAATGTTTGCTTGTCTTGCAAAACGCTCTCAAACCAAGTTACTTGTAAACCAAGGTATTACTGTACATGGTATAAACAGTGATGAGTGGACGCAAAGTGGCTATATGTTTTCCCTGTCTTTATATGCATGAATTAAATAAAGTCAGCTGATGTACACATTCCTCTCTGCTTTCCTGTAGAGGATTAGCCACTGCTGAGGGTCAGTGGATGATAGAGCACAGTACATTATCACCCGGTACACCGAGCTCTCCTCCCCCCGGTCGGTACATGAGCGGCCCTGTGTGTATTTCCAATGTGAGCTTTTATAGGAGAACACTTGGCTGCTTTGCCTCACAAACAGGACATGGCTGTATCCACCCCAGCAGGAGCTCCCCCCCAGGCTCCCTCAGGTCCATCCCCGGGCAGCCCGACTCACCTCTCCTGTCTGCAGGAGAAAGAGGAGCTGTCGCAACTCAATGACCGGCTGACCACCTACACTGAGATAGTGAAATCTGTTCTGAAGCTCCAGCTGGAGGGGAAAGAGGAGGTGAGCAGCAGGGAGGTCACTAATCCCAGGCAGCTTTATGAGACTGAACTGGCCAATGCCTGAAAACTGCTCAACCACATGGCCAATGAGAGGGTGGAGCTCGGCAAGACTCGGGAGGAGCACCAGCAGCTGCAGGCCAGGTGAGGGCAGCCATGACTGAGGAGGGGTCCTGGGGCAGGGCTGGTGCAAACGTGAATTCCCCCCCCACACACCGTTCCCCTTAGGCGGTTGCCTATGCAGCTTTACACTAGCGCGGGCCCTGGGAAAAACCAAAGATTTGAGTTGTCACCAGAACGGGAACAAAGGAGAAATATTCCATTGGGACACTTTTGCCTGTTACAACTGTCCAAGAGAGGATGTCCCTCACTTTGGAGAGATTTTGTCTTACTTCCTGCTACGTCTACAGGCCAAATGGCAAAACAAAATCTCGACAGGAGTTTTAACCATTCCCTACACTATCTAAAAAACCCAAAAAAAGTTTTGGCTTGAGATATACTTCCATACCTCTTGTATGAAATGAATATCAAAAAACATTTTTTTACACTGTGAAAGTAGGTGAAAAAAATGCAGCTGCAGAGAACTGACAGTTTTTCCTTCAAGTTCATTCATACATGAGGCACCTTGTGACAGTCCAGTGTTACATATAAAGACAAAGTGGCTTCTCGAGACAAATAAAACAGAATAATTTGGGGGGAAAAAATCACTAACAAGAAACAAATTAAAAGTAATACAAAGAAATGCCAACATTTGCCTGGACTTTTCTTTCACAAAGACTTCTCAGCAAGCAAGTAGAATGTCCATTCACCATCCAAACTTCTTTTTGGTGTGGCTTCTGTGAAGTTGGACCACATACTGGCTTCTTATATTAAAAAAAAAAAATGTGGTGGAAAATTCTCAGTTACATCCAACTGCTTTGGAAAAAAACAAAGCCAAATGACAGTCATGTTCTGTGATGGATTTGCCATAATACTTTTTTTTTTTTTAAATGGTGACTACAGGCAAAATAGCATTGACTTATAATGTCTCAGAAAGAGAGGGCAGAGGCACAACTATAGTGGAGGAATCTTGGCCACTGGAGTCTCTGATTATAGAAGCCAGAGGGTGGTTCAACTTACCGCTAATAACCCAAAACTGAAGAATCCATCATTTGTATAATGTCTTTTATCCTTCATTATAAGAAACAAGTCTATGTAACCTTTTAGCTCTCAACTGTAAATAGTAAAAGTCTACTGCAGCTTAATTCATGTCCATGTAAAACTATAATCGCAGGTAACAGGCCATTGTAAAAAAAAAAAGTGTTATCATTCATCGGCTGTGGCAGCTGAAGGAGGCATCCCAAGTAAAAAACTACCTATGATGAATCAGAAGAAAATTGCTGACATTTTACAGGAAATACTGTAAGGTCCATATTCCATTGGTGTATAAGGCACATAGTTGTAACATTACATAGAAGTCCCAGAAGGCTGGCTGTCTCAATAAATGTTACTCAGGAACACGTGGCTCAAGTCTCCTCTGAACGTCTTTTTCATGTCCATAAACTTCTACAACATGCACTCCGCTTACAGTTTGTATTGCAACACTGCAGCCTGGAACAAAATGTCTGCTGGGCCGCTCTTTACTGAGACAAAACCCACAATGCCCATCTCTAGAACTGTGTGGTGCGCAGTCCTTCCTCCATACATCATGGCATCTGCAGTGAAGACAAAACACAAGAGAAATAACATTGTTAAATAGGAAATCTAAAGAAGGACTTCAGATAAACAGCTAAATACCTTTATGTATCTGTAGGTTGAACTCGATGGACTTGTGTCTTTTTTCAACCTGACTAACTATGTAACTATGTTTACTGCTTTTCCTAACATATTATTTGTAATTTTGGCAAGCCATTCTTGTAATACACACACCTCTGCTTATCAGTAGGATCACTCTCTTCCTGCATTACTGCATCACCTTAGCATTACTGCTTCCTGAATAAGCTCCATTCCCTAAACCATAGGCAATGATGCTGATTCAGTGTCCAATGAGGAGGCTAGTGGTGGAGGGGCGTCATAGGGAGCAGGATTGCTGAACTAGGATGAAGAATTGTCAAATGCGGTAATACACTGGGTGGGCTTTTGCCATAATGTGCAAGTAGGCAAAGCCATTGTGCCCTTCCCCTGGCTGTGGGATCTCTCCCACCGCCACCACCTCCGCCACTTCTGGGTTTTGTGCGATTTCCATTCATGCATTGGGTGGCCACTGATGGTGCATGCACAGAAGAGTTACATTTTTCCTAGCATCAAACCCTTTTATGGCATGATAGATATGCTGTGAATTAGCCAAGAGTGTACACTGAACGGTACATGCAGCGTAGGACATACTGTTCACTGTTCAAAGCTCACTCACGCGATGGACTACAATCCCAATACAAGCTAGTAAACTAAATAGGGGATTGTAGTCCATCATGGGAGCGAGCTTCGAGCGGCGGTTACTTTACAACACTCACAGGGACCATGGGGAACAAAAGTAGCCACCCTCCGGAAGGAAGGACAGCGTCAGCACAAGTTCAGAGATGATTTGAGGATCTACCGCTAAGTGGTACACAAATAAGATACATTTTTGTTAATGGTTAAGGTACTTGAAGATTTAACTCCTGAGTTTAGTGTCACTTTAAATGTGTTCGTTTACAGGCACTTCTTGGTTTAGTTTTTTAGGAAGTGACAGTCACTTTCTATTCTAATACTCATGCTAGTAACCCACAGACTCCAAAATATGTTTGTTTGGCATAATACAGAAAGGAAGAATTCATACATCATCAAAAAGTATGAAAGAAGCTTTATACTTTGTGAGAAATACTTTAGCTATCAAATGAATATCCATCCGAAACACCAACATTAAATGTATTCATATCTGCTACTAATACTATAATAAATGCAATAAACACATAACAATGTCCAAATACATTTTAGAACGTTTTCAGTAAATGGCATAAGAGTTTTTTTTTTTGACTGACGCAATAGCAAACCTTGCTTAGTCATTCTCTTTCGAAAAAATAATTCTGGCCTGCCACTAATGACCTTGTTCTGCAAGTTGCCGGACTGTTTGTGGCTTCAATACTTCAGCACCTTCCAAGTCACTAGCAGATATGCAGCAGGTGAAGTCAGAATTTCCAGGTTAATGATCCAGAAATAATGAAATAAGGACCAGTATTAGAGCCAGGCAGCCAGTCAGCAATGGCAGCACTCATATTTACTTTATGAAATGTTCCCTGCAATTGGTTAAAACCAGATCCCAAGCTCATAGCTAAATACACAACTGACATATAAATATAGGAGTTGTTTCACCTTCTAAAATATTTGTTTTTTTGTCCATCCACTCCTAACACTTTCAAATCCCCGCCACACAGCACAGCCAAGTTGGTGACCTGACTTTTCTGTACCGCAGTTAAGCAATAGTGCTTGGTCGCCTCCCTGCTCCCAGTCTATAAATGGACAGTAAAATAACAGTAATAGACTGATCTAATCTCTCTGTACACTACGGCTGGAACGAATGATTATTTTCATAATCGATTAGTTGGACGATTATTTTTCCGATTAATCGGACAAAACAATAAATAAATACCATCCTTAATTTAAAATAAAGTGCACGAATGCAGAGTTACAAACATAAAGTTTACATCAGAAAAGAACGGCATGAACAGTTTTTTTGCAATCACACTGCACTGGAACACACAGCATTGCGGTACCGTGTGTTCCAGTGCGGGTGATCACACTGTGGGTGGGGAGCATTTGGGGTGTCATTTAAATAAAATGTTTCCCACCTTTATCATTTAAAAAAAAAATATTGTATTGTAAGCACATGATGCTTGAATAGCTTCAGCCAGGCAATGACAGGTGCCAGTGGCAAAATTCTGCAGGCGGCAGCTGAATGTAAATATAGCAGGTAGTGGGCTGGTGCAACAGCCTGCCTGCTATTGGCCATTTCAAATTGCAATAGCCAATAGCAGGTTGGCTATTGCACCCGCCCACTGCTTGCTGTGCCCTCCTCCCAGCCCGCAGGAGAGAGCTGGGGGATCCAACCCACTAATCGATAATGAGAATAGTTGACAACTATTCTCATTATCGATTAATCGATTAGTTGGTTGCAGCCCTACTGTACACCCTGCTCTCTACTCCTGACAATATGCTCTCCTTTCACCATAATTTGATTTGCCCCCCAGTACTTACCCTCTCACTTCCAGTCTAATCCATTTTCTACACAGGATTAAAATAGGTCAAATTCTGGTACTTGCACTGGTTCCATTTAAAAATTCATTATTTTCAACCAATACATATTATTTACACACCCTGAACCTCTTATACTCTGCTACATGAGATGTATATTTATCAAATCTGCTCTCTATAAACAATTAGGAAGAATCTACTAAATTGTGGTGTTCTTACTCATGACATTGATAACATACCGTTTCTACAGATGTTTTAGGCAAGTACAGTACATACAAATGACATTTCAGCTTTACTTATGTGAGTAGACTTAATATGTTTTAAAGCAGTGGTTCTCAACCTGTGTAACCTTAGGACCCACGTTTGTCCTTGGTCATTAACTCGTGACCCAAGTCGCACCGGATTCTGGTACCGTGTGTTCCAGTGCGGGCGAGCGAACTGTGTTTGGGGTGCCAATCAAATGAATAGCAATGCAACACCTCCCGCACCTGAATGCAAGGTAGGTGCGATTGCGTCTTAAGGAGCATTAATCGCATGGGACTGTGCAATGAATGCACTGTACTAGTGTGAATGGGCCCTTAAAAACACTGACAGACACACAGAACCACAGACACAATCTGACACACTCACAGACATCCTCACACATACACACTCCCCCCAAAAATCTACATTTTGTTCTTTTTATCAAGTCTCCCTATCTGATGAGAACTGGAGTGGATCATCAGCCTGGGGTCCAGTGTGGGCTGCTGTGCTGTAATGGAGCTCCATCCATATGTGCAATGCTTGTACAGTTCCTTGCATGCCCTTGCATGTGCCTAACAACCATACTCCCAGCCCACCCCAACTCAAGCTGACACTCGGCACCGGGCAGCATATTTTGAATGACTGCTTGGTGTGAGAACTGACAGTGCTGCCCTTGGGGGAGGCTGAGAAGCCTCTCACCTAGAAAGTGAAAGGCATGCGGTGACCCACTGAACACGGGGTCACAACCCACTTTTGGGTCACGACCCACCAGTTGAGAACCAAGGTTTTAAAGGTTATGCACGGATGACATCTTTGTACAGTATATGTCCTAGTATCCTAATATATGTGATAAAACTCGCTGAATGACAATGCAGGTGATTCGGATAGATACTGATAATATGAATTTCACTTGTTTTGTGATGCTGTTCAAGTAAATTAGACCAAATGTTGCTCAGTGTTCATGACTTGGAGAAGAATCCAACCATTGTACTCCCATTCAAATGGAAGAAGCCTACAGGTGACCCAGCCAATCCAATTCCACCTATAAATGACATTTTTGCATGCAATGGCCCTTTGATCGGACTGGCAGAGAGTGAGCCAGCAGTGATCCGATCATCTCTATCACACTGCTCAGTGCTTTCTGCCTAAACTAGTAGCATGGGGATTGGTTTAAAAAAGCTAATTGAGCAGGGATGACCTCATTATTGCAGTGATGCTCTTTCATTGTCCAATCAAGAGGCTGCGGGTAGGATGGTGATCAGGCTTACTTGAGGATTACTTGAAGAACTCCAGGCAAAATTTTTATTAAAGGAGAACTATGAGGTGGGTGCTTTTCACTCACCTCATAGTTCTAGCCGACCTGTGACAATGAGACTGTCATAGGTCAGCTCTGTAGATCGGGAGGTGAGCGAACACATACCAGGTTCGCTCGCCTCTCGATCCTGTCACGGCTCTCTGCCGTGACAGGGGGAGGGGCTGGATTCCCCTCTCCCCGCTCCGATCTGCCAGCGCTGACTGGCGGAACGGACGGGTTCAGCTGGCTCTGCCTCTAGATAGGCAGAGCCAGCTGGGCGGATCCCGTCATCTAAGTCGTGATCTGCTCCAGCTGCGGCGTCTCAGTATACCGCGAGCTGTAGCTCGCGGTATACTGAGCTTAGGGTGATGGGAGGACGCTAGTTTGTGTCCTCCCGTTACCCTAAGGAGAACTATGGGGAAAAACACTGACCCCATAGTTCTCCTTTAACCCTTGCAGTGGGGCTACCCCTGCACTGCAATGATTAACTGCTCATTTTGGTCTAAGGAGGAAAATGAAAGGTTATATTTAACCGTTCCTCTGAGCGGGCTTGCTCTTAGACCAGTCCTTCCTGCCTCACTCCCCCTCCGCTGCAGGGATCTACGGTACCTGAGTCATCACCTTCTATACACCATGTATAGGACGTGATGACGCTGAGGGATATACCATCGCTGGAGCGTAGGAGACAGGCAGGAGGAGCACTGTCACAGCCAGCCAGTTCAGAGAATGGGGGGAATAAAACTTTGTTATTTTCCTCCCACAACCAAAACAAGCAGTTAACCCTTGCAGTGCAGAAGTAACCCCACAGCAAGGGTTAATACAAATTTTGCTCTGAGTTCTTTTTTAATGCCATAGGAGAAAAGTGACCTGGCCATATTTCCTGGCAGGGGTGCATGGACCACAAGTTCAAGTCTTTTGGCAGGTAAAACCATCCAGATGCATATATCTCAA